CTCTACTCTATTCTATTCTATTCTAAATATTCTATTCTCTCCTTTCACCTCTTTTCAGTCCCCCTCGCCAATAGATGGCACTGTTGCACTGTTTCTCTTTAACTTTAAATAGTTAAAATTACATATGGGTCTTTAAAAGGTTAGGGGGAAAAGGAAAACAATTTAAAAGTCATGGAAAAATCAATTCAAAAGTAATATAATCCAGTTTCTTTCCTTAATCACCTTCGTTCCATCAGTTCAGTTAATTCAATTAATCTAGTCCAGTTTAAAAATGATTGTAAATGTTTGTAAAAAAAAGTTTGTCTTTTTGTCTTTATCTTTAACTCCATAATTAATGGCTTCCTCTTTCTATTTGCACCAGAAACCGCTTTCCTCACTGCTTTCTTCCGGGGGGGAGATTAGCTACCTCCCACCCTTTAAGTCTGTCTTTCTCTTCACCCTTTTCTTTTTCAGGGGGCTCTTTTCTTGTTTTTAGCAGTAAAATAAAAGTTCACACCTAATTCAACCATGCTTTCACTTTCCTTCTTTCTGCTGGAGTTTGTCCCAGCCTTGTAACAGTTTGTCTTGACCACTTTCCCTTTGAGTTGGCTACAGAGGCTATCTCTGGATCAACCAGGGAGATTGAAGTATCCCTGGGTTCAATAGGGGGTCCTCTCCTCAATCATCATTCCTCTGGAATGATTTATGTCCATAGGACCACTGTCTCTTGGGATTTCGGCATCCTCCCTAGGGACACCCAGGAATTCTGCCATATTGTTGTGACGTCAGCTCCACCCCTCTATTTTGCAATTATGTTGGTTTAAAACTTTGGTTCATCAGGGCTCACAAGCCTCCATCTAGGCATTATTATCTGCAACTTTCCAATTGATATATTCCTCCTCTCTCACTGGGTGCCATAGCTGAGCTGTGCCTTCCAGGAACACCAGCCAAGTTGGAAATTTGACTGCAACCCTCAGTGTGGAATAGGGATGTGGCAATGGGGCTGCAAGACAAAAGGCTGCCTTCAGTCCAGGGAAGAGACCACAGCCTCAGGGGTTCCGTCTGAAGAGCTGCGTTAGTCAGGCAGTGCCTGAAAGTGCTTTGGAGCTTCTGCCTCACAGGGCAATGCAGGGCTGTTTTTTACTACCAGTTCAGCTGAATGGTAACATTTTTTACTACTGGTTCACCCAAACCGGGTTGAACCGCTAGAATACCACCACTGGTTTGCAGGGTGCCCTTGGTAGAACAAAAATTGCTTCTCCAGGTTGACCATTTTGCAGACATTGCTTTCTGTAACTCTGTACACTCTGTAACTGGCTTTACCCCTTTTAGAGTAGCCACAGGCCAAGATTTCAGCTCCATGCCTGAACTACCCACAGAAGGACCCACCATCCCCTCACTTTACAAAACACATGGCCAGTAGTCAGACTAGCACTCAAGGAAGCTAGAGAAGCATTTAAAGTCCAAGCTGACAAGAAGAGAATGGAACCTAAATCTTTTCACACAGGGGATTAGGTATACTTTTCCAGTAAATTCCTACAATCCTTGCAACTATCTAAAAAATTATGATCAAAGTTCATTGGACCGTTCCCTATCACTAGGATCATCAATCCAGTGACAGTAGAACTGCTTCTTCCAAAAACACTTAGACAAGTCCACGCAGTGTTTCACATTAGTTTACTCAAATGGGAAGTAACGTCACCCCTCAGACCTCCTGCATCTACACCACCTACTCCCACCATGATAGAGGGTGAACAACACTTTGAAATCAAAGAAATTCTTGACTCTAGAATCCATGGGGGGAAAACCCAATACTTAGTTGCTTGGAAACATTTACCCTCATCCCAAAATGAATGGGTAGCTAAACAACATGTTAGAGCCCCCACATTACTGAAAAAATCCACTCCCAATATCCTAACAAACCTTGCTAACATACTATAATGAACTTCTTTTCTATATTTTTTCAGATGGATCTCTCTTTTTTCTAAGAAAGGCAGCATGTCAGATCCCTAAAAGTGATACTGCCATTCAATTGCAAGAAGGGGGGGGGGGTCTTGAATTTGATTCATTAATATTGCCTGTGAGGACTGGTATTTTATAACTTGTATCCTGGCACTGGAGCAGCCTGAGATTTTCTCACCTGTTGGAGGATATATAAGAGGGAGGGCCAGGTGGGTTGTTTCACTTTAATAGCCAGAGGAAGATTGCCATGGGAATGTATGCTTATCTGTTTCTCAGAGTGGCGGCACAAGAACAATCTTCCAGCTGTGGATTGGCTGAATCCACATGGCTACAGGAAGGGGTCTCTACAGCTTTAATTCTACTTGTCTTGCCTAAGGGTAGTTGGATGTTGCTTTGAATGGCATGCTTTCACTTCTGCTTAATAAAAGCTTCCTTTTGAAATACTTCATTTCAAGAGTCTTCACTTTCTTAAGTTAGAAGGAGAGGCAATCCTTACAGAGGCTCTTTCTTGCAATGCAGATATGTGTGTGTGTGTGTGTGTGTGTGTGTATGTATATGTATATGTATGTGTGTATGTATGTATGTATGTGTGTGTATACATACATACATACATATACATATACATATACATATACATATACATATACATATACATATATATAT